CTGTCACTGGGAGCATAAAAACAAATTTTCTGTCCGTTGTCGTCACTTCCGGTCAAACTGGAAATAGCAAAAAAGGCTTATTTTTGAACTAATAAACATATATTTAGAGTATTAAAACCATTTTTTTTTGTCTTATTACACATTTTTGTAATACATAAAAGTTACTTCCGGTCAAACAGGGCGGAAGACCTACTCGTTGCTTTGCAACGAGCTTTGCTCTAGTTATTAAGGTCTTTTGTCTTCAGCGGAAGACCTTTCTGTTATTCTTCGGTTTCTTTTTCACTTTTATTATTTTTTTCTTACCGATTTTGTGCACGCGATTTCTCGAAAACGGCTAGATGAATTTTCATGAAACTTTCAGGACTTATGTATCATCACTTGATCCTTATGCGTTTTTTTTTCTTTGTTGATGACGTCACTTCCATTCTGAGATATTGCCGATTTTATGAATTTTAAAGGGTCAAGTTGTCCAGGGTTTTTCTGGAAAATGGGTTAAGTTAGAAACATGAAACTTTCAGGTATGATAGACCTATGTCTATAGATGTGCATTTGGCATTTCGATTTTTCCGGAAACGCCGCACGTCGGCGCTCGCTATGGTCCGAAAATAGTCCTGTCGTGAATTTCAAAATTTCTAACACCATTTCTTCGATATCTTTTAACCTAAAAATATTTTGTTAAAACATATACAACAAAAAATGTGTGGAATTCCAAGATCTTTCAAATGATATCTCAAAAAGGGGCTGACCCCTAAGAAAAAGGGCCTAGAGGGACCGAAAGTTTTTTCTTTATATCTCAAAACATATTGAGAATTTGTAATACGTCAAAGAAGCAAAGTTGTTCAAAATGTCAAGCTTCATCTATTGGAGTCGTCGTCATTTCACCAAACAGGAAGTGGTCGGAAAACGCGTTTTTGCCGTTCTTGACAAGTTTTTGGGTTACATATGTCTCTGGGAGCATAAAAATGAGTTTTTCCGTGCGTCATCGTCACTTCCGGTCAAACCGGAAGTAGCAAAAAATGACTTATTTTGAAGGTTTTGATGCAAAATTGAAATTATAAAGTCACTGGAGACTACTTAGCTCATTGCTTTCTTTTGTTCCATCACTTCCGGCACTTCCGGTTAAAACCTGACGGAAGACCTACTCGTTGCATTGCATCGAGCTTTGCTCTAGTTTTTATTAGTATTCTTACCGATTTTGTGCACGCGAGTTCTAGCAAACGCCTCAGTGGATTTTCACGAAACTTTCAGATCTAATAGATATCGATCAGAACCTTATTGGAAATTTTTTGTATTGAGAACGTCACTTCCGGTCATGAGATATGTACGATTTTCTGATTCTCAGTGGGTCTGCTTGTCCTGGTAACTCCTCCTAAATGACTTGAGATATGGCCTAGGGGCCATAAACTTAGACGAGCTCAGTTTTGATCTAAGTCTCACTTTTTCCAAAGGAATAAATAGTGGAAAAGTGAGACTGAGATCAAAAGTGAGATCGTCTAAGTTTTATGGCCCCAAGGCATGGAGTTGAGATTTTCAGTGTAGATAAAGAAAGGACTGTAAAAGTGCCATTTTGAGCCTAGAGCTTTGCAGCGCCAGAGGCACCAAAGCTCGCCTGAGTTTAAAAAATGGTTCAGAAATATCTCACGCAATTTGACAACTTTTCGGTTATATCTTCTAATCTATAAACATTTTGCTAAAACATACAGAATAAAAGTTGTTAAGAAATTTACGATCTTTCATTTGATATGAAGAAAAAAGGGCTGACCCCTCAAAAAAGGGGTCTAGAGCGGCCAAAAGACTTTCATCTATTACTCTTTCACTATCAATTTTTTGTTATAAATTACTGAAGCAAAAGTGTTAATCTTAACAATCTGCAACAATATATTGTAAAAAAATTATCATATGTTACGTAATTAGGGGCCATAAGGGGCCGCAATACTAAAACTTTGACGCTTCATATCATGAAAAGAGGGAACATTTTGATAAGCAATATTGAACAAAAGATGGTCAGAATAATATCCTTAACAATATGCATACTTTAAATTCTTGCAAAACGACCCCATTAAGGACTTGTAGGGGTAGCCCCTAAATATTTCCATTCAGCATATATCCACAACGAAAAGAAATCTCTGAATAGGTGTTGAACAAAAAGTCTTTGAAATTAAAAGACCTTTCATTTGATATCAAGAACAAGCGGCTTACTCCTAAAATTAGGGGCTCAGAGGGCCCAAAAGTCTAATATTTTTAACTCTTTAATGATCAATATTTTGTAATACAATACAGAATCAAAGGTATTCATTCATCTTAACGATTTGCAACAATATATGATAAAATTTGGACCATGTCGTACGTAATTAGGGGTCACAAGGGGCCAGAATATCACATATTTGACGTTTTATATCTCAAAAAGGGGGAATATTTTGATAAGCAATATTGAACAAAAGTTGGTCAGAATAATGTTCTAAACAATATGCATACTTTGAATTTTTGTAAAACAGCCCCATTAAGGACCTTGAGCGATGGCCCCTTTATATTTCCATTCAACATTTCTCCAAAACGAAAAGAAATCTCTCAATAAGTGTTGAACAAAAAATCTTCAAAATCACAAGACCTTTCATTTAATGTCAAGAAAAAGTAGCTGACCCCTCAAATTAGGGGTTCAGAGGGGCCAAAAGTCTTTCATCTATAACTCTATAATGATCAATTTTCCTTCATACATTTCTGAAGCAAAGGTATTCATCTTAACGATTTGCAACAATATATGATAAAATTTGGATCATATCTTACGTAATAAGAGGTCACAAGGGGCCAGAATGTCAAATCTTTGACACTTTATATCTCAAAAAGGGGGAATATTTTGATAAGCAATATTGAACAAAAGATGGTCAGAATAATGTTCTAAACAATATGCATACATTGAATTTTTGAAAAACGGACCTATTAAGGGCATTTAGGGGTGGCCCCTAAATATTTTCATTGAGTATATCTCAACAACGAATAGAAATCTCTGAATAAGTGTTGAACAAAAAATTTTCAAAATCACAAGACCTTTAATTTGATATCAAGAAAAAGGGCTGACCCTCAAATTAGGGGCTCAGAGGGGCCAGATTTTTTTTATCTATAACTCTGTAATGATCAATATTTTGTGATACAACAAATCTTCAAAATCACAACACCTTTCATTTGATATCAAGAAAAAGGGCATGACTCCTTAAATGAGGGGCTTAAAGGGGACAAATATCTTGCATCTGTACCTCTTTAATGATCACTATTTTGTAACACATTACAGAAGCAAAGGTATTCATCTTCACGATTTGCAACAATATATTATAAAATTTGGTCATATCTTACGTACGAGGGCTGTTCGGAAATTATTGAGACAATTACATTTACTCCTTAAAGGACGGAGATAATTTCATGAAAATTCATCGACATGTTATAAAGAATGAATAAAACACTTATGCAAAATTTCTAATTCCTATGATAATTAGCTTTCAGTGAAATAATAAACATGCACATGTCTAGCGACCCGGAGCAGCATCGCTACGTCATTTAACGTCACGTCTGTCCTAGATGGTTTCGCATGTGAAACGATCGAAAAGCATTTAATACTCGTCTTTCTTTGTTATTACATATAACATTACAAAAATCAAATAGTCTCTTTTCTTATACTATTCTTTAAAGATGTGTGCTGTTTCTGCCTCAGTGAAAATTTTTCATTTGATGTAAAGGATTACTTAGAATCATGCAGTGCCAATTTATGCAACGCGGGTTTAATACCGTAAGGATATTAATACCGTACGTTAAATCTCAAGGTCGTCCGGGGCTTTTAATTTTATTCTGGTTAAATTAATTGTAAAGAAAAATGTATATCAATGAAATAAGAAACTATAAGACATCTTTTTTTCTCTTTGTGATTGTTTTAGCAGGTCGTTCAGTCTGGAAAAGAGTTTTACAGTGCGCTACACCAAATTTAAGGTATGCTGGCTGTTCCGCCCTTGACGTCAAAATCAATTTTGTCGTTGCTAGCAGATTTCTCTACCACGCTTATTTTTTTTACGATCTCCGTATTTCTGATCAAAATTCTATCAAAGCTGCATTACATGAATTTGAAATAAAGTTGAAAAATTATACACTTAAACTGAATTATTTTCGCTCTTATTATTCATCCACGAAGAGTTAGAACATTGTTGTTGCATATTTCCAGTATCTGATTTCGTGACTGTTCCGGATACACCTAGTATCGACGCATTTATATACCATTGTAGAGAAAATATTTGACATTTGTAGAATATTTCATGCTTTTATTAGTTCTTAGTGTATGTCAAACATACATGCAAAATTTCATCGAAAGATATTAATTAGAAAGCAACATATACACAATGTCTCAATAATTATCGAACAACCCTCGTAATAAGGGGTCGCAAGGGGCCAAAATACAATATTTTTTATGCTTTACGTCTCGAAAAGGGGGAGTATTTTTATAAGCCATATTGAACAAAAGATATTCGGATAATCGTGATAAAAATCAGAAACTTAAAATTTAATGAAAGAAAACTTAATATCATTCTCTTTTAACGAATATCTCAGTCAAAATCACATCTCATCTTATCGAGAAATTCAACGGAAGACCTACTCGTTGCTCGCAACGAGTTCTCATCTAGTTTATTATATTTTTTGATAATTTCATGTACCTATAAATCTATCCATGAAATGTTTTACCATATGCTCAACTTGAAAAAATAAGTTGTAAGGCGTAAACACATGCCTCTTAAAAGCCACGTGACGGAATTTAGTATTCACAAAAATAACTTATGTAAGATATCACGAAGTGAATTATAATATTCCATGTGTCACAGTCCCTTGTAACAAGAGAGAGAGAGAGAGAGAGAGAGAGCGAGCTAGTGTACGAAGAAGCAGTTTTTCCCACTTAAACCTAAGTGCACGTCTTTTAACACTCCATTACTAATGCAAATATACAACTACTGTTAAAAGGTGTACAATAAACAAATATGCGCTGGCTATGTTTTAAGTCAGTAAAAAAAAAACCGCGGGCGTCATCATTATCGTGCGGGAATTGAAGAAATTGTGTTGACCACCGCTTTAGAAAACAGATTCTTACATCTTAATTACATACTTTTTTATTGTAATTCATTCAAGTTGTAGATAAGATGTTGATTATTCCTGCTTTTTTTAAACCAGGAGACAGTTATAAGACTATTACACATGGACTTGTGAAAACCCCAGATTTTGTTGTTGTTCAGTTAAAAATGGACAATGGCTATATGTCCGAGGCAGCAGGTGAGTCTGGCCAAATTGTACCTTCACACTTTCTGTAGAATCATTGATGTACGATTTCGGGCTCCACGTTTAACGATAATTTTACATCCCCATGAACAACTATTTTGTCTACATATTTATTAAGTTAAAAAATATATATACACATGTAAAAGTTACTGTTTTACAGTTTCAAAGAACCAATGAAATTTTGTTTATCCAGGATCATTGTTCTTGCATGAATGATATAATTCCACGCCCAATTTTTCTCAGTTTGTAAACTTTTGTACTCTACATTATAGACCTAAGACGATCCATTTAAATATTTGTTTATGGCATTCTATTGTAGGTGTGACATTTAATTCACAAGTCTTTAATCATCAAACTATCTGCGGGACTGTTTTTGCATTTAATGACAAAAAAATCCGTCTTTGGTCTATGTCCGGTAAGGTTTCTTTGTAAACGTAGTTATCGCTCTATCATAACAATAACTATTAGATTTAAGAAAAAAAATAAAAATCTTTCATCATATATTTTGATTTTTTAAAAGATGGTTACTTGTTTCGAGTTTTTTTTTTAGCTCACCTGAGCTGAAAGCTCAAGTGAGCATATCTGATCACTTTTCTGTCGAGCTATCCATCCGTAAAGTTTTAACAGTTCAATTTCTTTTCAAGAAAGGAGAATTTTTATTAAACCTTGTACGAAACATTGTGAGGTAGTGTAAATTCTTAATTATTAAAATCATAGCCCCGGGGGAAGGGCGGGCAAAATAGAGAATCAATTTTTATATTGCAATATTTAGAAAAAAATCTGTATAGATCATCCTCTCAAGAACCACTTGGTCAGAAAAGTTGAAACGTATGTGGAAGCTTCCTTCAGTAGTGCAAATTCTAAATTGTTCAAATCATGACCCCGGGATAGCAAGGGGTCACAATAGGGAATCTAAATTTGAAATATATAGAGAACATCTTTTCTTATCAAGAACCACTGGACTAGAAAAGCTGATACTTACTGTATATGGAAGCATTCTGGGGTTGTGTAGATTTTACATTCTCCAGATTATTTGGCTTGTGCATTCGATGGATGGGGAGCAGAGAGCTTTAAAGACGTCACTGCTAGCTTGTATATCCAGGCCTGGACACTGGACTCCTGTAATAAGCATTTCTCAACACAATTTACACTGGATAAGAGCGACACAAACACTGTCGAGCGAGTAAGCCTGGATTCGGTGTATAGTTTAGATTCAGCGTTCGTTTCTGTTCTGGTAAGTCTTAAGGCATGTAAAAATAGTCCAACATTAAACAGGTCATATCAGATTCTATCGTTTACGCTAGTTTTAACATTTTACTTTGATTTTGAGTGAGTTGTTAAACTCTTTCCTTAATATGTTGATTTTTTTCTATGATTAAAATAGGTCTATATTGTATTTTTTATATCAAAATGAAAGAAATTTGGAGTTTTTAAGGGGACGAAGGATGTATGGTCACCTGACTCAATTTAATTACGTCATAATCTCTGATTAAATATGTACAAAACAAGATTTAAACCACAGTACGTGTGTAATTTTAGACTGTTTCTTGGAGTTCACCATCTTGTATTAAAATATATAAAAACATTAAAACTTTCTTGCAAATATTATCAAATTACGGAATAGATTGATCCACTCTTCCGTTTCCCTACACGCGCGTCCAATGAGTCAATGACGTCGTAGTAGATCTCATAGTACACTACGGTTACATGTAGACACGGTAAAACAGGTTAGTATAATATCATAAAAACGGCTCATGATCGATACATGGTGGGGTATTTTGTGAATAAGAGAACACAAAAGATATTTTTACATGGTTGTTGACGGAAATATATTCTAGGTATGTCTTATTTCACTTATTTTGCATATGTGTGACGTCATCGTTGGGTTTTCCCGTACTCGAGAAATGTAAACATGACACGTTTTATTCATGCTCATGTCTTGTTTAACTGTGCCCTGTGCAAAATTGAGCTCAGCTTCACTAATCGATATTTTTACAGTTAATCAATAACATGACGAACTTGCATTTCAGCGTAAATATTTAAATATTGAATGATAGGTTTTTTTGCAAGTTAATTTTTTGTTGTTTTGAATTGTCTTAAATAGTACGTACTTTTCCATCTCCGGATGCGGCATGACAAAAGAATCTTGGTTCTACGAATTTTTAACCCTACTTAAACTCTGAAATATTTTAAAAGACACATATTTTCTGACATATTTCTTTTATCTATGCTGAAAAAATTCCGTTATGGAACGAATAATGGGCCTAGAAACATGGAGAATCAAAACTTCACTTAGACACTATTGGGCATAGTATTTGTCGCTTAATATCTCAAAAATAAGCTTAGAAACCTATTGATATATCTGCTTTAAGGTATGTGGCTCATACTAAATTAGAGATATACAAAATATGAAAAAAATTGAACGACAGGTATTTTTTTTAGGTAAAGGTCCTTCTTCCCCTTAATGGAATACTAATACAAGTAATTCATTAACTGTGAAGCAAATGATCAAATAATTGTGATTCTAAAATCGTAACTGAGAATGTATCTGATGTAAAAAAAAAAGAATTAATGGGTTGATATATGGTCAGTGTAAGTAAATATGAAAACAATCGAAATTACATCTCATATACCTTGTTCCATGTTTTCTATACACTTTTTTCTTGCTTAATTCTATCAGATAAAAGTATTATCTCCAAACAACGAGGGATTCATGTTTCACGCTGGCAGTAGCGCCATGATTGATACCTCTAATGACTCATATGGAGCTATAATATACGGATACAATGAGACAGAGGTTATGTTCTGGAGACCATCCCCGACAAATACAAATGGACATTTGGTTTACGTGGGTGAAAAATGGGGTGACGGGCAAAGTAATCAAGAAAGTGACGTTGTTGAAGTCATCGTTAAAGTTATTGACATTACAGGTATTATGTATTTGATTAAATGAAGAATTTAGAGATGAAATGCTATGCAAAAACATCAAATTCATTTTCCTATCAATCTAGTGAAAACTCCCAGATAATGGATAATGAGACTACATGTAGATGTAAAAGAACATCCTAAGAATAAAAAGAATTACCTCTGTTTGTCAAGTAATATAAGTTCTTTCTACGTAGGCACGCCTTGTAATGTTACAGAATTGTGCTCCCCTGATTGTTCAAAGACTAGATGCATTTCTACAGGTATAACATTTTCATCTAGGCAATATTGCAAGGTTTCTTTGCAAAATTTGCTAAAAACTGTAACTTTTTTTCATTTTATAAAATCCATTCGAAAACCTAAATTAGATTATGAACTAATAATACAGAAAATGTTAGCTTAATTCATATTCTTTGTTCCAATTTCGTTGTCATTTATCCCAACCACTGTATTTCTCCAAGGATTGAATTCGAAATTATGAAAACATATTTCAATGCAGATTGTCCTATCCCTCCTGACATTGACAATGCTTATAAATTATCTGAAGGAGTGACTAATGGTAGTAAGACGTTGTACTCTTGTAAACCTGGATACACTGAAAGTTCAGATGACGTCATGATTAACTGTGTAGAGGGTGCATGGTCTTTTACTTCAATGTTCTGTAGAGGTATTTAACACGTTTGTGGATATATGAGAATATATTTACATTTGCAAATGTTTTTCTTTATATAACACTATTAAAAGCAATGCGTATCTATAACTATATAAATACCAGTAGGGGGTCAGGAGTTCATAGATGTGCGTATCAATATTTGTGAAAACTAGGATTTGGCACTATTTTTACTAAGGCAATGCTCAATATTGATCGATCTCATCCGCTTGTTGCAGAAGTCTAAAATAGATTAACCAAAATCTCAGATTGCTTTTATGATTTTATTTGTAATCACAGCAGTGGACTTCGAACAATTATAAAACATTTCTACAAAACAATTTCTTACTTATGTTTTTCTAAATTCCCGTCTGCTACACTGACCCCAGGTCACTCTAGTCTCTATAATGGCTGAATTTGGCGATTTTGATATGGGTGACGCAGAATTATACCTTCTGCTAGATGATGACATATTTGCATCACTAGACCTTTCCTTTATGGCACCTCTGAGTGTTGAGGAAACTGAAGAAATGGAACAGGAACTGAAAGTCTCAGATATGGAGGGTCTGCCATGTCCCGGGGTGCCTGTTCCTACACCCCCACCAGCAAAGAGATTCAAATCTGTTTCTGGGGATGAATTGCAGAATTTCCAGGATTCAAGGCAATCTGCATCAACAAAAAGAAACACAAAATGGGGGATCAAGTTATTTCAAGGTACATTTCACAAAGTCAAATCAAATTATTGTCAATATTTTACCCTATGACCACAAAATCATGCTTAAAAGTAAAAACATAAAAGTAAAAACAATAATTATTTAGGAAAAGTTAAAAACTAAGTAGAATTAATCTATGATGACTAAAATATGTCCTTGTAAGAGAGACAAGTGCATGTTCTGTTGTATATTATATATGTGTACAACAGACAGACACACTCACTACTAACAATGACAAACATGACATTTAAACTACTATACCCAACAAATGCAACACAAATGAATCTGTATCTGAGACTCTGTGTAACAATAAACAAATTAAAAATGCTTTTTTAAAAAGAGTTAAATTATAATAAAACTTAAAATCAAAAGGCATGCAAAAATTTGAGGAAAATTGTTTTAAAAAACCCAAATAAATGAACGCATATAGAAATATTTATATAATAAAAAAATCAAACACTGCAAGAAATATTTCCAATTAATTTTTAGATTGGCACTTGGAAGTCTTTGGCGAACATCTCGACTTCTTGACAGTCACTGCAGACTTTCTAGCAAACAGATTAAGGAAGTTTTATTGCGAGGCAAAGCCCAAAGAATCAAAAAAAAGATCCGTAGAACTTACTCACATACAAGCGGAAACTTACCACAAAAATTCTTTGAAAAGTCTCCGATCTGCCATAAATAGACACCTGCAGGATTTGGGTAGGTCAATTGATGTCGTCAGAGACAAAGAATTTAAATCTGCCAATCATACCCTTGATGGGATGTTGAAATGCATGACAAAAACTGGGGCATCAAGGGCCACAAATCACAAAGAAGTAATCCACACTGAGGATTTACAGAGAATCTCTACCTATTTCAAATGTGCTTCATCCTCCCCTGTTGTTCTCCGACAATGTGTGTGGTACAACTTGTCCATTCATTTCATTTCCCGTGGCTTAGAATTCCACCATCAGATCCGCAAGGACTCGTTCAATTTCTCAAAAGATGAAAATGGCCTGGAATATGCCACCCTCAGACACGAAACACAACAAAAAAATTTCCAGGGAGGCATTGGATGTCATGAGGCTCCTTCTGACAAAAGAATGTATGAAATTCCAGAGAATGAATTATGTCCAATTAAAATGCTTCAGCTGCTGATAAGCAAAACAGATGAAAATGCTACATACCTTTTCAATACCTGTTTCAAGGAAGCTCTCTCTCTTCCTGGTCTGCAAGATGTGTGGTACAGTGCTAAACCTTTAGCAAAAAGGTCTTTCACTGGATTCATGGCCGATATATGTAAATCGTCAAAATGCTTGAGGACCTACACACCACACTGCCTCCGTGCCACAGCCATCACAGCCATGAGTGATGCAGGTTTCCAAGCACGGCAAATAATGTTTATGTCGGGGCATCGGAGCGAGGCGTCCTTGAAAACCTAAAACAGGAATTTATCAAATCAACAGAAGCGTCAAGTGAGCTCATGTTTGTCAACAATTACAAATCCCGATCAAAATACCAGTCAAAATTGTCCCTTACCCTCCTGTAATTCTACCGCTACTTCCTCTGCGATGTCCGTACTTCCAGGAGATTTATCTGCTTCTTGTGATGTGTCAATGAATGACTTGTCTAATTCTGTCGTCTCCAGCTCTGTTCTTCAAGTCCCTCCACCTCAGGCTTCCCTTAACTCAGTAATGTCCACAGAATATCTTTCGAAATCCGTCTTCAACAACTGCGTGTTCAATTTTCAAAAGTGAAAGGGCGCATAACAACTGTAACATTGCGCACCCCAAAGCGCACACGTTTTTAACAAGTTCTTTTAAATCACCGTTTGCGGCATAAAAACAGTTTTATAGTTATAAAATTTTGAGTAACTTTTACTGTCTTTGTTGAAACCTTGTGTTTGAGCTTAATTATCATTAAAACGATTTAGATTTCATGGAACTTTGTTTTGTGCTTACGTCATTTTGAACCAGGCGTTATGTAGGTCAATGTAAAATGTATGGAAACGTGTTGCAATCAGAAATTCAGCTTAGTGATCGACAGATGTTGTCGATCACAAATGTAAATATAAGTAATAAGGTATCATTTTAAAACATCTATCGGGCTATAAATACGGGTCGGTACGAGATTAAATTCATCATAAAGCCCTTCGGGCTTTATGGAATTTAATCTCGTGACCGACCCGTATTTATATCCCGATAGATGTTTAAAAATGATACCTTATTTCTTAAATGTGAAAGTTATATCACTAATTGAAAAAAAAAAACCATTTCTTAACAGGATTTTAATAAAATAAAATCCTGAAACTTTTTTTTCATGTGAAGTTGTTTGCTCCACACCTCCTGCAGTTGAAAGTACAGCAGTTTTTGTTCAGAACAATAGAGCAAAATATCACTGCTTAAAGGGATATTTCGCTATGAAAAATACAGTTGACGTCATCGAGTGCAGAAACAGTACCTGGCCGTCCACTGACTTTAAATGTATAAGTAAGGATTAAGATCTTTATACATTTTGCACATGTAAATACTGTGTCTTAAATCGTATGATATGAATAATGTTTTTTTATGTTCCCATTTGTTTTAAATTTCAAAAATCATAAATATATATTCTACAAAATATTGTATTAATGGTATGCACCAAAGGATATTCTTAAAGTATTGTAAGTCATAAGAGTAGGCATAATTGTAAGTTATTACTTAAATATATTTGTATACTATATTTACCAATATCAACTAATTATAGTAATTGCACAATGTATTCTATACAGAATCTTGTCCTGATCCACCGTCCATTGCTAACGCTGATGTCATGGTCTCTGAGAATGTTGCTTTATATTCTTGTCGTCAGGGTTTTCGTCCAAAATCTGGAACCAACTCAATAAGCTGCTTACAATCTGATTGGCAGAAAACAAACTTCACCTGCTATGGTAGGAGGATTTCACTATTTCTTGTCATTCAGTACCATTAAAAAAAGAAAACTTTGTTTTGACAGTTTATATGCTGAGTGTTTTTTTACCTTAATAATTATACATATGTAATATCATTGACATAAAGTTACAGTACTAAATATGTTTTAGTGGTTTGATACTGTGAAAAGGAAAAGTTATTTGTATAGGAAAAACAACTAGAACATAAATTATAATATACGTTATTATGACATCAACTGCTAAGTATGTCTACATGTATATAGAAAGTCAGGAGGCTCTTGGTCTTATAATTGACAATTCTTGTACTTTCATGCTTTACATTTTCGAATAGAATATGCAAACAACAGAACCGAAATGTGAAACACCGATGCAAAGGCTGAGGTTTCTCAAATGCAAGTCTAACTATAAGGTCAAAAGATGAAATATTTGGTATCAAAAGGAAGGTCTAGAAATATTCCTGTGAAACATGAAGCCCTAGTAATAATTGTTTAAATACTATGGCTAATATTAAATTAAAGTGTTTTGGAAAGTGGGTCAAGATTTATGGTCAAAGTCAAAAGGTAAAGAATTGTTATACTTATCAAAAGGTCTTGCCACAGTGAATCCTATGTGAAGTATAAAAGCCCAAGCACCAATTGATCAAAAGTTTCAATTGGGTCAAACTTCAAGGTCAAGACGTGGTCAAATTTGGTGGTACTCAAATAAAGGTCACAAGGAATCCGCCAGTGAAATATGATAGCTATACTCCCACCCTGTCAAAAATCTATGTACAAAGTTGAAGCAGACAGAGAGACAGGGCAAAACCTATATACCCTGGAATATTCGATTACGAGGGCTTAACAAGATTCGTATGTGAAACACTGACGCCCCCGTATTGCTCCTTATTGCTAAGGTTGAAATTTCTCAAATGTCTTGTCACGATGAATACCCAAGTCAGGATTTTGCGAGCGCTCCGAGCCTGCCCAACACAGTAACGATTCAACTTTTACTTATACTTCACAGTACACATATGGCGACACATCAGTCTGATTTCTGATTATCAGAAAATAAAAACATGATTTATATTGTCCTAGCTAGGGCGGATCATTTAATCATCGCTCAATTAGGGTTTCACCTTGCATAATCAATCATCTCCGAGATTGCCGCCAGACTTATGCATGTAGGAACAAAGACAAATAATCTATTGTTATCTGCATTTCAAAAGACATTTTTATAATTTGATATTATATATTTGTCTTTTCTTCAAAACAACGTTTCTAGAATTATGTTGGCACGTTAATAAAACAAACTCGCAAAAATAATGGCAAATTTACTTTTAATGATAAAGACAGCTAACTATTGATAAGAAAGAGTATTTCTTTCTGTATCCCATTTTATAATTTCAGCGTCATTATGCGGCTCAGTTCCTAACATAACAAATGCTGATTATCTAGTTGAGAATGACGTAGCCATGTATGCATGTCGCTATGGATACAGACCAACAAATGCTGAAAATAAAATAGCATGTATGTCTGGAAAGTGGACCAATACCAGTTTGCAGTGTCAAGGTGCTCTATATTTTCACATTAATCAGAATATATTTGCCTGGATTTATATTTTATAAGTGCAGTTTAGTTTTGCAAGTAAAATAGTTACATGTACATACTTAATAAGAACATTGATCACAGAGTATATCATCAGTATTTTTGGGACACGAATGTTTGTAAATTTTATGGTCACCCCTCTTCATAAAGTCTCTCACCCATGCACGATTGCTGTCAACGTACAGGATCATGGAATTTTCAATATTTCAAAACCAACAGAACTTTGTTTACAATGAACATAATTATCCCCACAAATTAAAATAATTCCTAAGCATAATCGAATCGATCTCATAGGGATAATTATTTGCTTTTTATGAATTCTTTGAATGTAATAAACATACCCGGTATAATTTCTTTCAATTTTATTATAATTTAATTTAAAATCTAAAAATAAGCCGCTCAATTAAGGCTTGTTTTGATTTTTTAGATACAACAAAGGGACTCAGAAGCTATATCACCAATGATATGCTTGCAGAATGGATAAAAGAGATGAAGAAGAATTTATCTGTACATAAATCAAATACCAGTGCCTATAACAGAAGCTTGATCAGTGTTTACGAATCTCGCCCCAGCGCCGTACAGATAGGAAGTGTTGGGGTCTTTCTAATAAGTTTTACTATAATAGTTTTAATATTACCGGATATAGTTGCTGTTGTCAACAACTTGTGTAATAACATAAATAAGAATTTTTGTCATCGTCGGAGAGGGAGAGATGAAAAATAATTAAAATACTGTGAAATTACTTATTTTCATTGGGGGTTAATTTTCGTGGTTTCAATTGTGTGAAGGAGCCAGTGAATTTATATTCACCACAAAATGCAGTTTTACAAATATATCAATAATGAACAATTCTTCAACCAAGGATTTAATTCCCCATGAACCAATTTACTTTTTTTTTCCAAACCACGAAAAATTGGCTCCTCGAAAATATGTGATTTTACAGTATATTATATATTTTGTTATAAATGTGTTTAGACAACACCTGATGCGCTTTGCTAATCAGATGGCAATCCAGAAAATGTAATATGAGAAAATTTACTATGGAATGTTGATTGTTATGATACATGTACTGTTTTTCCATGTACAATTTTAAAAGCATTTCATTTGAATGACCTCTTTATTGTGAATGAGAGCGATGTTTAACTTCTTGGTCACAACTTTCAAAATAAATGTTTTCAAATGAAGTTCAAAAGAGGAGATAGAATAGCAAAAAGTTCTGTTTATGAAGACAATTATATATATATATATATATATATATAGTTTTAGAATTGGATTTACATCTTTTGGATAAGCTAATACTTTTTGAAACAATTGATAAACTAGACCTCAGAAAAAATGTCATAGAATTTCACGTACAAACGATATATAGAACTGCTATGGTTTGTTCACATGTTATAACAACGAATGGCTCATCCATTGCGATATCAGTTTCGATTGATTGATTGATTGATTGATTGATAGTCTGTGTGTTATTTACCGTCCGTATTTTTTAAGCCACCCCTTGCCGGTGGAGAGCTGCAAATTGTGCTCTATACACGGCACTTAGGACCATAGAGCAGTGAGGGATCTTTTTTGTGCCAGCTCCTCTTGCAACATGGGACCTCGGTATATACGGTTTCATCCGAAGGACCGGTCTCACGTCACACAGTGGGATTCAAACCCTCGACTATCATCTTTCATACGATACGAGAAGGATATGGAAATAACGAACAGTATTCAATCTCAACGTCCATTTAACAATATACAAAATAAGAGCAGAGCAAGCACAGACCTCCGAAACATCAGAGGTGGGATCAGGTGCCATGGAGGAGTGAGCATCCCCTGCCGACCGGTCACACCCGCCGTGTGCTCGTTGTCAATATCAGGAAATAACGGAAAAAATCCGTCGTCAATTCAGTGTATAAATAATGGACTAACAATTGGTATGAAAAACGTCAGTCAGCATTTCATTCAATGATAAATTGTATTTGCTGACAAGGTCATTGTATCGACCATAGAATTTACGAAATGATGACTTTAAACGAGACTGTTGATATTCTTGTTTCATCAACTTGCTTGTCAATAATTTACCTCGTTTAAGAAATTGTTCATACGTAGAGCATGCTCTTGCGTATCGAATCAACTGAGATATCAATACTCCGTATGCAGGTGATGACGGTATATTGCTGCATAAGTAAGGGAAGTTGACGATAGAAAAGTTAAAGTCATCTCGTTTATCATATAGCTTGGTTGTTAGATTACCATTAGTGTCTTTTTCAAGTAAAATATCCAAGTATGAAGCAGAAGTGTCGGACTCTGAGGTATCTTTTATCTCAAGCTCACCAGGATATATCGTGCCGACGTAGGAATGGAAATTATCATTATTAATTGACAATACGTCGTCGATATATCTAAATGTCGAGTTGAAGGCCACAGCAAGTGTTTTCTTCTTTTCACGCATAAGATTTTGCATAAATTCTGCTTCATATGAATATAAAAATAAGTCTGCTAATAACGGAGCGCAATTTGTACCCATGGGGATTCGAATAGATTGTTGAAATACCTGGTCTCCAAAAACCACATAGATATTGTCAATCAGAAACTCAAGCATCTTGTTGATGTCAACTTCAGAGTACTTATGTGTGCAATCAGAATCTGTTTTAACAAAAATAATTTTTCAAATGACCAATGACGAGGTAAGTAAATTTACGACTTCCATTTTTTTGAAGAAGCAGCTGTCAATGATATCAAAAAGCCTGGATTTTAATTTGTCGTGGGGAATTGTTGTGTAGAAAGTTGAAAATTCGTAAGTTTTTAAGCTGTTGATTTTTGTAAAGTCTTGTGATTTCAAATTGTCCAAAAGTTCTTTAGAATTTTTAAGTATCCACATCTGATTTACACCACTTCTTGAATATATAGTTGTATATTTGTATAGTTGTTTATTTGTTCTGAATATCTTAATAGATAGATTGATTGATTGATTATATACTGTTTAACGTCCCTCTCCAGAATATTTCACTGATATGGAGACGTCACCATTGCCGGTGAAGGGCTGCAAAGAACTATATGCGGTATATTGCATATATTTGCCCCCACAAAATTCAAATTTTTGAAAACTTCCTGAAATGTACTGAATTATATAAATTGTATGAAAAATATAAATTAACAGAAAATATTATAGTGTCAAAGCAGTGTATTCACAATTTTTGTTTTTATGACGTCACAAACTAGTCCGATTTTATATTCTTTTTCAGAAAGAAGACAGCAAAGACAAAATTTCAACAATTTTAGCTTTAAAATTTATAGAGCGCAAGTTTGTTCAAGAACAATATTGACATATTTTATTGATATTATCATTCTACACATTATATAAAAATATTAATCCTGAACACTTGCGCTCGGTGACTTCTACTCAAAATATCGACGAAAGGACAAGTGCACTTAAGTAATGCTCAATGGGCCCTTTTTATGTGCCATTTTACTTTAGAATATATTACCAAATCGTTCTCCTTTGGAAATAGTTAGATACTAGAGGATATTTTTAATTAAAAAGCACGATAAGCAACACCTAAATCAGCATGGATTTGAAACAATTGAATATATTTAAATGCCTAAGAACACCCTAAAAATCCGGAAATGTCTTACCGAACCTTCTTTTAGTTTCGTTTATGTAAATCAAGGCGACTAGATATTTAAATCGACACTTGAACAATCTGATGGTGGATCATAGTCAGGCGCGTTTGTGGAATATAACTTTTTTGTGCTATATCTGTTTAAAAAAAGTTGTGTAGTTGCCTGTAGCCATAATACTCAAACTAAGAAATTGATACTCTTGCATTTAAAAAAAAATATACACAATAAAATTTTCATTGAATTTGAAATCTAAAAGGAGTGTTTAGGTGGCTTTCAATACCTGTTTCATTGTTTTGCGTAAATGTTGAAAATGTCTGACACTTTTATGAATGGCGCTAAACTCTCTTAACCCTACCGTAATCGTAAATATAAATACATACAAATATTTCTAAGCGGCAAGACTTTGACTAAATGATAAAAAAAACCTGCCGATGTTTTACAGTGAGCACCATTGAGGAATGTTTACCTGGGTAGAACTCACGTGACTATCAGTATTTTAAATAATTTATTCCACAAATGGGTTCAACATGGGTCATACAGGTAAATACCTCTCACTTGCTATAGGAAAAACATTGTACTTTTTGTGCATTTTTAATATTTTAACTACCAGCCTAATCGTGTACAAATTTCCTACTTTAATAATTCACACAAGTTTTATAAATGTATTATGCGTCTTTTGTCATTCGCACAAATTTGTACAAAGTTAGGCTCATAGTAAACAAAAGCTTTGAAATGAATTACCGTTTTCGATTTACTGTAGAAAATCACAAATGTCGGCTGACCCCTGCTACATTCTATGGTTTTGTTCTTTGTATATTCGTGAATTTCAGCGGTAAAATTTGTTGAATCTTACGGTTTAGAGATCAATTAATGATTTGGGATGAAAAATTTTGCTTAATTTGAATGTTTATTTTTTCAAATTTTACCGGGGCCCATAAGTGCACTGGTTCTTTGTACATTTTTCTGTAAAATTCATAAAACAATGAAATTTACGTCATGTTTTGTGACGTCATTACGTACATATGGCGTTATTACTTATGAAAGAATTCAGTACTTTGAAGTCAGCATATACTCCCCTGTTTAAGAACTTAATTAAATATATCTCCATTACAGTTTGATTTGGGGGGCAAATATTGGTAATTACCGAATAAAGTTCTTTAGGCCTATGCTCAGCACTTACGGCCTTGGAGCAGGGAGGAATCTTTATCGTGCCACACCTGCGCATAGTTGAAAGAGGGGGACATCCTAACAGAAAAAATCAACAAAAACAAATAAAAAAAAAAAGATGTGTTTGTGAAACACTGCTGCCCCCGCATGACAACATAGCGAAGATTTGAGTTTTTTATGCAAATTTAATATATTGGTACCCAACGTAGGGTATTTTTGCTGGAAATACAATTGTGAAATATCAAAGTAAGCCAAGGTTAAAGTACGGAAATCTCCAAAAGTAAAGGTAATTGGTATATCCAATGAAGGTCTTGTCAAAAAGAATACATATGTAAAGTATAAAAGCCCTATCACTATAACCGTTCAAAAGTTTTGGTTAAGGTTAAAACTTATTTTTAAAAAGGAGATCAAACTACAAAGTCAAAGGTATTAAACGAAAGATCTTGTCACAAGGATTGAATATGAGAAGTATGAAAGCACTAGACCTAACCCTTTTAAACTTATGGTAAAGGTTTGCTTTTTAAAAGTAGTCAAAGTCCAAGGTCAAAGGGTCTCTGTATCCAAGAAAGGGTTTTCTTACATGGATGACATACGTGAAGTATGAAAGCAATAGGCTTTACTGTTCCAAAGTTCTGGACAAAGTTTTTTGTACATGAGTACAAAAGTCTCGAAGGTCAAGGTCAAAAAGTCAAATTTGATGGTTACCAAAGAAAGGTCTAGTCACAAGAAATACACATGTGAGATACGAAACTCATAGCTCCACTTAATCAAAAGTTATGGTCAAAGTTAAAGTTTTTTGCGGTCAAACAAACAGACAGACAGACATTTAGACAACTAGACAGACGGACGGACGGACACGACAAAAGCTATTTACCCCCAAATTTTTCTTTACGGGTCATAAAAATATTTTTTATAAAAGTAAAGAAGGCTTTAAAAATAAAAATATCCATGTAAAAATGCATGATAAAGCATATTTTTAAAGGAATAATTTACTAAAGTAACAAAGAAATGATAATCAGAATTTTTGAAATATCGTGCTTATTGATAGGAAATTATTTATTGATGTACACAAAAGGGAATTTGGAGTAATGAAATTACTGAAGTCTCTTTTGGGGTCCCCTATACTGCAATTTAAATTATGATTAAAAAATGTGTTCGGCGAAGCCTAGCGACAAGTATTAGTAATTAATAATTATGATTTGCATGAACTGACAAAGGTCTGCGTATTAAAACCAAAAAAATACCACTGCTTTAAGGATTCCAAAGGTAAAATATGTATTAGAATCAAACGGTTTCATTGTTAAATGTACAGCCAAATTGCAAGTGGTGAAGTACTAGTTTTATCAAGTAACGGAATAACATTTT